GGCAGGCCTCGATATGCGGTGGCGTGTGCGGCGGCAGCGCTCCGCCGCGGAAGCCGCCGGGGAAGGTCCACACGGTGGCCGCCTCGGAAGAGGGGGGGGGGCGTAAGACCCGGGTTTGCCGGGACTCGGGTTCGCCATCGTTTTTTGACGACCGCGACTCGGATTCTGACGAGGAGGAGTTTCGTGGGATGTCTGCAGCGGGAGGCCTCGTCAAAACGCAGGCTCGGCCTCGTCATTTTTTTGACGACCTCGCCGGGGATTTCCGAGTCCCCCGTACCCGGGTCTTACGTCTCCCCGAAAGAGGGGGGGGGGAGGCGGTAGCGCGGGACAGGATCGACGGAGGCGAGGGGGCGAGGAGCGCAGCACCCCCTGGAGCCCAGATCGGCGATCCGCCGCGGTGCGGGGCCTCTTCTTCCTCTTCCTCTTCCTCCTCCTCCTCCTCCTCCTCCTCCTCCTCCTCCTCCTCGGGTCTTCCCCACTTCCTCCTGGGCGACGTTGGTCGCGAGTGAACAACCCACCCCCGCACCCACCAGGAGGATGTTTACATGTGTTCTGGAATGCTGATGGACTTGGTCGACGTGCCCACATGGCGACGATTACGAATCGTAGCGTTTCTGTATTCACACATCGCTTTATAAACCGTATATTCGTGTTGATACAAATTGTTGTGCGCTTTGTAAACACGTGTTCTCGTTTATAAAATTGGACCGATACACGTGCGCGATGGCGCGATTTGAGCAATGTCCCAGGCAATTCCGTGCGCGGTAGTTTTTGTTTTCCAAGGTTGGGGTGTTTGTGAAACACGTTCTTGGTTTTACAGTTTTGTTTCTTCCAGGCCCTCGGCGGTTGCATGTTTCGCACGTTGCCAGGGGTCTCTCTTGGGGCAGGTGCAGCTGACGACGGCCGTCAGGCCACAGGCTCTGGAGAGAACTTCTGAGCATAGAAATGTGATATGGTGGGTGGGAGGGTGGCTTGGGACGCCTTCAGTCAGGGGGGGGGATCGGCGCCGTGGGGGGGGGCCGATGTTCAAGTTTCTCCGGCGACTTCGTCGGCTTTCGGCAGCTTTCCAGACTCGGGACGCCTTCCAGCGGCTGCGCCTCGTCGAGAGGGGCAGTCCGGGGGACCCAGATCGCCCCGAACGGCCGCTGGAGACCGAGATGCGGCCCGAAAACCAGAGGGCAACGTGAGGGGGGTGATGGTCCTCCTCCCTCCTGCCATCGGCTTCCTCCTCCTCCTCCTCCTTCTCCTCCTGCTTGCCATCCCCGTCGAGATGGGCAAACGAGTGATTCCCTGAGCTATACGGATAGTTACTGATACTCGTCATCCCTTTCATTCAGCGTATATCCAGTTTGGGCGGAGGCCGCCTCGGGACTATGGGGTGATCCTCATCCTTGGTCGCCTCCCTGACAATCAGGGATGCGTGATTAGCCGCGCCGACCTTATTTGGAAAATGCAAGCGGGCTAATCGAGCCGAACCGCTTCCGACTCAAGCGCTCGAAGAACATCGTGGGCGCCCAGCGTGACCGTGCTCGCCATGCTGGAGTCGGTCCCAAATCTCCATCGATGAAGACGAGCGGTCCTTATCCTTGACTGATTTTCCTCCCTCCATCCCTCAGGACCACCGGGCGGAGGGGTAGCCTCCTCGTCCTCCCACTCCCTCTTGCCTTCTCTTCCTCCTTCTCTTCCTCCTCCTCTTCCTCCTCCTCCCATCATCCCTCATCTTCCCCATCATCTCCCTCCTCCCCCTCGTCCATCGATCGTTGCGCGGTCGAAACAAAAGGGACTGTCTGTACATTGGATTGGCGGGGTATGGTGCTAAGGAGGTGTGTGTTTCACTTAGAGATACGACGTCCTATCATATTATCTGAGCTGTTCGTGGGTGAGCCCGAAGTCCTGCAGCCCCTTGTTCGACTCAATCAAAAGAGCCTCTACTTTTTCCCCCAGCTGTCACGGGGGGAGGGGGACTCGAGCATGGTAGCGGAGACCATTTGATCGCGGGCAGCTCCGCATCTTGCGAGCTTGCCGCGGCGCGCGCGGCGACAGCGGTTGGACGGCCACGTCTACCTGTTTTTAGAAGAAATGTGGGGCTTAGGGCCACGTTGGGTGCCGTGGCGTCCATCGATACTTTCGGGGCGGATGCGTCTATGGACAACGCCGCCGTTGCGCTCGGCACAGGGCAAGGTCGGAGAAGAGGGCAGAGCCGTCTACGACGTGTTCCTGTTCTGGAGCAGGCCCTGCATGGCACTCCAAGACAGCGGCGAGGCAGCGGGCCTCCCTTCGCCTGGCGGCCAGGCAGCGGGTCTCCCCGCGCCTGGGCCAGGAGTCCGCGGCCGGGCGGCGGGTCTCCCCGCGCTCCGGCCAGGACGGGGCCGGGGGCGGGCAGGAAAGGCACAGGGCGGTGTCGCTCCCGCGGTGGCGTGGAGAGCCTCCGCTGGAGGCGGAGGACGCGGGCAGCCCGCACCGCCACGCAGAAGGAAGAGCAAGCGCGGGCCGCGCAGTGGCAAGGCTCGGCAGCACCGAGAGTCTCGCGGCAGCGCCTGGCGCAAGCCCGCAGAGTGCAGAGACCCGCCTTCCCTTAGTCCCGAGGAGGATGTTACAGTGAGCAGGCAGCTGAGGCGAGACCTAACAAGGTTTGACGCAGAAGACGATAAGGATGGAATAATGTAGCTCGTCAGAGCGAGACGTAGCTCGAGCGGAAATGCGAGGACAGCTTCAAGGGTAGAGCGATCGAGCCCGAGCGGCAACAAGAGGTCGCGCGGATATCCTGGACCCGGAGAACACACCAGGTGAAGCCGTTCGACGGCCAGAGGGGCAGTTGGAAGACGTTCACCGTTTAGTACAAGGCGTTTCTCATCGCGCAAGACCGAAGGTACATAGCCGTGCTCGAGAAGATCGAGGAGAACGTATACGAAATTGGCAACGTGAGCGTGCATGCCCACGATAACAAGCTCAGCACGCAGCTGTGCTTCGCCTTGGTCCTATCGATGCCCAAGGACTCGGTAGGGCAGCTGATCGTGAGGAACCGCCGTCAAGGAGGAAGCGTATGAAGGAACTCAATCCTACACAGGCTGGGAACGCTCCCGCGATGTAGGCACATCTGGCGGACACGAGGGCGTTTTTGCCAACGGCCAACGGTCAGAATCTCAACGTGCACATTGCAGGATCGCGACGCATCTCCGATGCATTTGCGGTTTGGCTCGATGCGGGGCCTTTTGTTTGTTCCACGTCGACGTCGACGATGCATCAACGACGACGTTGGCGAGACATCTCCGCGCCGATGCATCGCCTGTATATTTCGGCGATGAATCGTCGATGCGGCGCGGTCCTCCGACCCCATATATTCGGATCAAATCAGAGGGGCCTCCAGCGTCGTTGCCAGCTCCCTGCTGCACCACCTGTCCGCCGCCCTCTCGCATCCTCGTGTCCGCCCTCGCCGCCCTCTCCTGCCGGGCCCTCCTCATCCTCTTTTCCAACCGCGCTCCCCATCCTCAGCCGCCTTCGGCACAAGCTGCCTTTCCGCGTCGCCCCTGCCCCTCCCCATCCACGCTTCCTCCTCCGCCTTTCCCTTTTCCACCCTGCTCCTCTTTGTCTTCGTACCCCCCCCCCTCCCTCTCTCCTATCCTCCCCCCTTCCCCCCCTGTTCCGCCACCGATGGGCCATGCAAGCGGCCCACGAGGAAAGGCATCGAGGTCCTGAATGTGTACCGTCGGGGGCTTGGGCCCCAGTAGCCGCGTCCGATGCCTCGTGGAGCGGCCTGCCGCGGCCCCATCCGTGGGGGCGGCCCCCAAACCGCGCAGCAAGACCCTCGCTCGGACGACGGCGCCCTCCGCCCCTGACGCGGAGGCGCTTGGTCGCACCCGCGGAGCGGGTCAGAGGCAGGATCGAAAAAAGGGTGGCAGCGGAGTGGATTTGGAGCGGCCCCCCGTCGCGGGCCGTGGTCAGAGTGGCGGAAGTGCCGTGTCCCAGGGTAGCATGTTCCCTTGTCCGAGGGGTGCCGTCTCCCCTCTTTGCAGTTTGACCTGCGAGTCTCTTCCCTTCGGGGCGGTCCGAACCTCACCTAACTTCCTCCTCCTCCTCCTCTTCCCTCCTCGTCCTCCTCCTCCTCCTCCTCCACTTCCTCCCTCCTCGTCCTCCTCCTCCCTCCTCCTCCTCCTCCTCCCTCCTCCTCCTCCTCCTCCCCTCCTCCTCCTCCTCCTCGTCCTCCTCCTCCTCCTCCTCCTCCTCCTCCTCCTCCGCCTCCTCATCCTCCTCCTCATCCTCCTCCTCCCCCTCCCCCTCCCCCCCCTTTTCCTCCACCTCCCCTCTTCTCCCCCCTTCGCTCCTGGAATCCGACATTGCGAAACATGCAACATCGTGGAAATCACAAGCGGAGCCCTAGATCCCCACTTCCTCATTTTCCGAGCCAGATCGATGTGTGATGGTCCCAGGGACCGAAGCATCGGGGATGAACGCACCGAACAAACATGTCACGCCCAGGTCTCAGGGTCCCCCTCTTCTTTCCCTCCCCAGATCATTGGATACCGGATTTTGTTGGTCGTTGTCGGAGGCGACCGATCGGCAATCCAAAGCCTTCAAGACCGACAGCGACCGCTTTTGATGCAAACCAGTCGCGACCGAGATCAGCATCTCGACCGATATCAGCATCTGAAGTTGACCATAGGGAAAAAGGGTCCTGAGGGAAACAAGTCGTGAGGTTTTTCACTGCTTTCGAGTTTGGGGGGGCCTTCAACGGGCCCCAGAGCTTTCAGAGTACGACCGAGGCACCCGTCTTGGGGGCAGGCGCCAGGGTCCAGCATCCCCATCCCTGCCAGGGCCCGATTCCCTATCTGTGAAGGAGCAGAAGCAGCAGCGACCGATCTCGTCGGTCGCGACTCGACCGCCCCAGCATCCAAGGATCAGGAAAAGGAGGGAGGGAGGGAGGGAGGGAGGGAGGGAGGGAGGGAGGAGGAGGAGGAGGAGGAGGAGGAGGAGGAGGAGAAGGAGGAGGAGGGAGGAGGAAGAGGAGGAGGATCAGGGCTCCGATTCCCTTTGCCCCCTCCCCGCCTCCAGCAACGCCCGCCCCGCGCCCGCCCCCCTTCTCTGCCCCGCGCCCCCTCCCTCCGCGCCCACCCCCTCCCTCCGCGCCTTCCCCCTCCAACGATGCCCGCCCCGCAGTGGGCCCTGGAAATATACCGGGGTCGTTTTTTCGCCGGTTGCGTTTTGATGTGTTCGTTGTTTGTTTCAGAGGCGACGATGGGGGCGAATAGCCCAGGGGAGAGCAATACACGTATCCAGGGGCGCCGATGATCTATTTCTTCGAAAAGGCTCCTGGGCGAACACGTGTAATGCCCGCCCCTGGGCTATTCACCCTTGTCGTCGCCGCCGATTGTTCTGACGCCGTTTCTGTACCCGCTTCCGTCGCCGTTTGTTTCTTGGTTACGTCTCCAATACCAGAGCCGTCTTTCTTGCCGCCTCTGGTTGCCGCTCTTTTTCACCGTTGACGCTCTCAGCAAGCATGTTTCGGCAACGGGGGAAACTTCCATCCCATCTCCGAAGCCAACTCAGACCGTGGATACACACTCAACCCGCATAGTAAGGATAGCCAACTCTCCCAAGGGTACCGTTACATCCTTGCCCCTGCGGCCCATCCCTAGCGGCTTTCGCTGGCCAACCTCGTTCGAATAACGTCAACATTACCTTCCAAGGCCCTTGCATCCTTGCCGAGCATCTTATTGTACGCATGTACTGTAGATCCATAGTAGCCATCCACCACCCCAAACAGCCACTATTCGCGAGCACGCGCCTCACGCCACTAGTCCAGTCCGCGCAGATCTCTCGCATCGGAACTGCGGCACCCCAGCGGCGCCTCCGGCGCCGCCACTGGCGCGCGCCGCGCTCCAGGGAGGGGCGTCAAATGCCAAGCCGAGGAGTCCGCGCGGACCCCGTAGCTTCTATTATGCTCCTCCCATCCCCCCCTCCCGTCGCCCCCCTTTTCCGGCCCCTCGCCCACAGCGCCCGCCCCCCCCCCCACTACCCACACAGCGCCTGGCCCCTGGCCCCATCCCTTCTCTCCCCTCCCCAGCCCCCTCTCCCCCCCCCCTTCCCACAGCGCCCGCCCCCCCCCCCGCGCCCTTCCCCTGCAGAGGCGGCCGCCGCCCCGGCGCCCCCGCCCCCGCGCGCCGCTGAGGACCGCCTGCCCCATTCCCCCGCTCGGCCAGGGAACGCGGGGGGGATAGAAGACGAGGAGGAGGACGAGGAGGAGGAGGAGGAGGAGGAGGAGGAGGAGGAGGAGATGTCGGAGTATCGCGCAGGATCGGCGATGCATCGGCGACGCGGCGCGATGGGGAGCCCGATCTTCCCCACGCCGACGTTGCCGATGCATCGCCGACGTCGCCTGCGCATCGCGGACGTATCGGCGATGCATCGGCGATGCGGCGCGATCGCCTTTCCCCATCTACTGGGACCCCATATTAGAGGCCTCTGTCGTTATTGAAAATAAATGAGCCCCTAACCCAATAGCACAATGAGAACGTTGCCTAACCTAGACTCCCATCTTTGCATTAGTGATGGTATCGATAAGGATGGTTTGGTTTGATACGTATAACTTCTTCGGCCTCTTATCTTAGGTCCTGTCCCAATGGGGGGGGGGGCACTGAATTGCAAATCACATCAGGGACAGCGTTAGTCTGGGCCTCCCGGAGGTCGAGGAAACGCAGGCATGGACCACGGCACGTGGATTATCGCGACGGCTCTCGCTTCCACACCAGATCGGCGCGCGCCGTCGCGAGATCAGGCGGGCCATGTTCCAGGAACGTTCTCCGATCCGTGGATCTGACGCCATCGCCCCTGCTCCCCTGGGGGAGGGGGGGGTCAATCAGGGGCAGGATTAGTCTAGGCTCCCAGGAGGCAGTTGTCCTTCAGGCCCCGGCAAGTTTACTCAGTGTCCCTGCGGGGAGGGGGGGGGAGGCGCGGCGAGGCCCGCAGGGACGTCGTGGACTCCGCGCAGGTCGGGGCACACTTGCACGCCCGTCCGGCCGGGCGGTGCTCGAGAAGGCGGCGGAGGGGAGGGGGGTGGGAAATGCCATGGCCAGTGAACTTGTCTGAGCCTAGAGAAGGAGAGTGAGCGGCCTCCCGGACGGTGTCCGAGAAGATGGTGTCGGAGGGATGGCGCCGCATCGCCGTTGCATCGGCGATGCGGCCCGGTGTGGAGCCCAAATTGCTCCACGCCGACGGCGCCGATGCCTCACCGGCGTCGCCGATGCATCGCCGATGCGGCGGCGATGCGGCGCGATCCCTCCGAGCCCATCTACTCGGACACCATCTGGGAGGCCTCGAGGGAGGCAGGCGCGGAGGAGGAGGCGCGACCTTCTGCGCGGGAGGGGGAGGGGAGGAGCGGCTGAGGGCTGCGTGCTGGCGGGACGACGGTCTTTCCTCCCATCTGCCTCCATCCTCCTTGCTGCGGCGGCGCGCGTGGGAAGAGTCGCAGAGGGGGCGAGGAGGACGCAGGAGCGAGGGAGGCGGAAGGGTGTCCGCGGTTCGGTTGGTTCGGTCGCGTCGCAATCATTTGCGTTCGGCCGGTTCGGTTCGGTCGGCTATTGTGCCGCGGTTGCGTCGTTGCCATCTTCTAGGTTCTAGGCTGCTTTCGGCCTGTCGATCTCGATCAGTTTCAGTTTCGCTGTCGGTTGGGTCTTGCCGTCGTCGTCGTGCACAGCCTCGAGGGGGAAGGGACGCTGGAAGGGGGCCGGCGGGAGAGCTGAGGTGGCCCACCGTTGGTTCCTGTCAGCAAGCAAGAAGGATAATTTTCAGGGCCTAGTCGCTACGGCTGTGGTGGGCCTGTTTTTCACCACCACCACCACCACAAGTTGGAGGGGGGGAAGGAGGTGGAGGAGGAGGAGGAGGAAGAGGAGGAGGAGGAGGAGGACCCCCTCCCCCTCCTACTTATTGTGGTGATGGTGGCAAACAAGCTCGCCAGGCTCGAAAGTCTTGTTGATTTCGACCCCGGGAGGCGTCCGGTGCGAGATTTTGAGCGATTTTGTCCCCGCCACCCCCTCGCGGTTTATTTTCTTGGGGCCCATCTAGCTCAGACCTCCCTGGGCGCCTCCAGGGTAGGGCAGGAGGTGGGGCATGAGTAGGACGGGGCAGGAGGAGGGTGGACGGGAGGAACGAGGAGAGGGAGGAGTAGGGGGCCACATGCGAACCCTACCCCTACCCCCCACGATTTCTGAGGTGGAGGGTGGGGTTCACTTCGTTCGGGAGCTCTCGAGCGAAGTGAACCCCACCCTCCCCCTCAGAAATCGTGGGGGGTAGGGGTAGGGTTCGCATGTGGCCCCCTAAGGAGGGAGGACGTGGGAAGGAGGAGGCGGGAGGGGAAGGTGGAGGAATGAGGGACGAGGGCACATCTCTATCGTCCGCGGCGGTCCGCAGCTCCTTCCCTATACGCCTCCCTCCTTCTGCCTCGGTCCTTGTTCGTTCATCCCCTCGTCCCCGCCCACTGCTGGTCTTGGGTGACTGGCAGTTGCATGTGAGTCATGGGCTTCGGGAGGAGGAATGCTGTTGATGATGTTGATGTTGGTGAGTTCTCACTACTGAAGGATAACTGTTGTTGATCTCCCCCTCTCCGGTGACCATTGTGTTTTTTCAGTTGAAGTGCTTCCTCCGGGGCTCGCACCCTTGTTTTTATCAGGGCAAGGCACGGGGTTCAAACTCTGTTGTTGGCCCCAGGATTACAACAACAACGGCTCCCGCTTGAAACTTCACATAATTTGGCCAGGACCCCGCTCCCGCCTGAGACTTCCTCGCATTTGTATCAGCAATCGCGCTTTCGTTTGGGACTTCCTTACACTTTATTACTGGACGGCTCTCTCGGCGCTCTGGAGTCGCGCTCTCGCTGGAGACTTGCTTGCAATTTGCGAGAGAATCGCGCTCTTCGGTTGGAATTCCCCGCAATTTACTCAAGCGCCGCGCTCCCGACACTCAGGCACCAAGGAGTCGAGCTCGCTCGTAGGACTCCCTCACAGCTTATTTAGGAATCGGGATCTCGCTGCCCTCGCTTCCCTTCGTGGCCCCGTCGCAGCCCTTTGTGGCCCCGTCGCTGTCCCTCATGGCCCCGTTGCAGCCCGTCGTGGCCCTCTCGCTGCCCTTCGTGGCCCCGATGCGCCCCTTCGTGGCCCCCTCGCTGCCCTTCGTGTCCCCGCAGCAGCCCTTCGTTACCCCGTTGCTGCTCTTCGTGGCCCCGTTGCAGTCCTTCGTGGCCCCCTCGCTGCCCTTCGTGGCCCCATATATGTATGCCCTTCGTGGCCCCCGCTTGTTCGCTGCCCTTCGTGGCCCTATATGCATGCACTTCGTGGCCACGTGGCTGCCCTCGGTGGCCCCGTCCTTGCCCTCTGCGGCCCAATCTACGTATGCCTTTCGTGGCCCCCCCACTCGTTCGCGTCCATCGTGGCCCCATATGCATGCGTTTCGTGGCCCCGCTGTCGCCCTTTGTGGCCCCCTCGCTGCCATATGTGGCCCCGTTGCTACCTTCAGTGGCCCCGTGGGTGCCCGTCGTGGCCCCGCATCATCTGCCCTTCGTGGCCCCTGCTCGTTCGCGTCCGTCGTGGCCCCATATGCGTGCCCTTCGTGGCCCCGCTGTCGCCCTTCGTGGCCCCCATCGCTGCACTACGTGGCCCCGCATTATCTTCCCTTCGTGGCCCCTGGTTTTTTGCGCCCGTCGTGGCCCCATATGCATGCGTCTCGTGGCCCCGCTGTCTCCCTTCGTGGCCCCCTCGCTGCCCTAGGCGGCCCCGCTGTCGCTCTCGGTCTCTCTCTCTCTTTCACTCGTCGTCGCCGTCGCCGTCGTTGTCGTCGTCGTCGTCGTCGTCTTAGTCGGTCCCCTGTCCGTCTCTCTTGGGGTCGGATTGCCGCCGGTCAGCGCTGCCGCTAGTCAGGCCGACGGTCCGCGGCCGCCCCGCCGCTTGCCGGGGCCCAGCCTGCAGGGAAGACAGGTATACCCCCAAAGACGAAGAGGGCGGGTATCATTTGTTTGGGAAATACACGTTGAATGATTCTCGAGCAGATACGAGCGAACAGTCTTACAATCATCGTTGTTGGTGGTGTTATTGTTGTTGGTGCTGCTGTTGGTGCTGTGGTTGTTGCTGCTGTTGCTGTTGCTGCTGTTGTTGCTGTTGTTCATGGTGTGCGCGGTTCCTGGGGCACCCAGGGACCAGGGAGTTCGTTGGCCGTTTGCATTGTGGCCCTCGAGGAACCCCACAACATATCTCCCCCCTATGCAGCGTCAGGCTCTTCAGAAAGTGCACAGGAGCAGGCCGCCCCAGCAGGTTCTCTTTGAATGGGGTAAGCGGTTTCAGGGCTCAGCGCGGCTCAACACATGATCAAACAACACCTGGTCTCCGTTGTCCTATCCCGTCCCCCAGTCCCGCGGTGGAGGGGATGTGCTTAGGGGCCGCACGCATAGAGCACCGATCGCTCGTTCATCGCCGATCGGGCCCCGACAGCCCGCCCCGCTCAGGAGCGGGCAGACGTGCTTTCGGGGGCCTCTCGCCGATTTATCGACGATGTCTCGCCGGGTCCAGGCCCATGCTTACCAGCTAAGCTGGTCACCACCTAACGTTGTCAACCGAGTCCGCTCCTGGGAAGGAGGCGTTGGTCGAATTGATATGCTCCTGGTGTCTGACACGGGGTCGTCTGCGCCGACATTGACGCGTTGGCTTCCCGCGCAAGGTGGCGCGCAGGCGCCCTCGTTTCCAGCATAGCGTGCCGCGCTGGCGTCCCGCGTAAGCCACCGTGTAAGGTTACTATGTCATCTCGCGTAAGACCCGTTTCTCTTCGCCGTTCATCAGCAGTCCCGTTGCGTCTCGTTTCGGCGGTGGGCCGTTTCGTGTCGTGCCGTTTTGCAGATCGCGTGCTATTCGCTCCGCGCTGCGTGCGAGAGAGCCGATGTCCCCATATGTTGGCCGACCTTGACCAGCCTGGGCGGACCGAAGCCCAGTCTCCCTTGGGATCCGACGTCACGAACAAATGACAGCATCGTAGAACAAGCTGGCCCCCCTCATGTTGGGCGCGCGATATCCGCCCCCAGACAACACTTCCAGGTTGATTTTGGAGGTCGCCGCAGCGATCGGGGTAAGGTTTTTGTCCAGCTGTGGCATGTCCCTTCCCAGCCGCCCCTCCCCCGCTCTGAGATCCAGACCTGTCATTGACGGTCAAACATGGGCAGTCCAGTTTTTCTGGTACGGGCTAATTTTTACGCAATCGTTGTTCTGTGTTCCGGAGGAGAACGAGACAAACATAATTGTGGGAGGTCCGCGCGGATTTGTAGGATCGGGTCTTCCGTGCGCCAGAGAGGGGGGTCCAGCGCCGATCAAAAAAAATCTGCGCGGGCCTCCGAAAAATTAGGTTTACGTGGTGTGTTTTTCTCTATGGTCAAGGGCCGATGATCATGCAATCAAGCGTTGCCCCTCATCCCAAGGCTCTAAGCCTCCTGGAGGGGTTGGAGTGGATAGGGTCGGAGGATCGCGCCGCATCGCCGATGCATCGGCGATGCGGCTCGCTGCGGAGCCTGAGTTCCTCCACGCCGACGCCCATGCGTCTCCGACGTCAACGATGCGTCGCCGCTGCATCCCCGGTGCGGTGCATCGCCGATGCATCGCCGATGCATCGGCGATGCGGCGCGATCTTTCGACCCCATCTACTGGGACCCCATCTAGGAGGCCTCTAAAGGCGGCCGAGGCGCGAGGGTGAGGGAATGAGCGGGCGGCCAGGCGGCCCGGAGGGGGGGGGGAGGTTCCGCTGCCAGGAGCCGGAGCCGCCCAGGGCGGACCCGCCCGCGCTCGTTCCGACCATAGAGGCTCGCCCGTCCTCGCCTCCCTTCTGCAAGAGGGGGAGGAGGAGGAGGAGGAGGGAGGAGGAGGAGGAGGAGGAGGAGGAGGAGGAGGAGGAGGAGGAGGAGGAGGAGGACAGTGAGGAGGAGGACGAGGAGAAGGAGGACGACAGGGAGGAGGAGGAGGAGGAGAGGGAGGAGGAAGCCGAGATGCCTCTCGCTTCGCGGGGTGCACGTCCAGAGCACACACATTGCAGTCGTTGTGGGGCCTCCTCGGAGTCTTGTGGGAGCCAATTTGGAAGCCTCTTGGGGCTTCTTGGGGACTCTTGGGGGCCTCTCCTGGAGCCTCTGGGGGGAACCTTTTGAGGACCTTCGTGGGGACCGTGTGGAGGCCTCTGAGGGGGCCTCTGGGGGGGCCTCTCGGCGCCCTGAGTGGGCTTCTTGGGCCGTCTTGGGGCGCTCTTGCGCTGTCTTGTCCTTGCGGAAACGGGGCTTCTCGAGGCCGCCTTGGGGCTCTCTTGGGGCCTTCTTGGGCCGTCTTGTCTTGGGGGCCTCTTGGGCCGTCTTGGGGCCCTCTTGGGCCGTCTTGGGCCGTCTTGGGCCGTCTTGGGGCTCCCTGGGAGTTTCATGGGCCGTTTCGGGGCCATGTCGGTGGCTGCTTGGGCCCATGACGTCTTAGAGTCTAAGAAGGAGAGAACGTTAACATATTCCAGAAACCAAAGGACAGTAAATGATTTTGGCATCTGGAGACGCTCTTGGTGGTCCTCTTGGGTCTTGGGCTCCTCTTGGGCCTTCTTGGGTGCTTTTTGGGCCCTCTCAAGGCCATCTTGGACCGTCTTGGTGTCGTCGTGGCCCGTCAGGAGGAAAGCGAAATTCCTATCCGATTCGCGGGGTGCACGTCTGGAGCACGTACAGACCAGTCGTTGTCGGGCCTCTGGGAACTTCTTGGGGGCCCCTTCGAGGCCTCTTTGAGGCCTCTTGGGTCCTCGCGGGGGCGTCTGGGAGGCCTCTGGGAGGCCTCTTTGGGGCCTCTCGGGGCCCCTGTGTGGGCGTTTTTGGGGCGCTCTTGCGCTGTCTGGTCCCTTCGGAGACTGTCGTGGGGTACTCTTGGGCCGTCTTGGGCCGTCAGGAGGAAACCGAAACTCTGTAAGCTTACGCCACATCCTCCGACCCCTTCATCTTGGGTCGGCACACAGGAACCCGACACCAACACCAAGAAGCCACCGGAAAATAAAAAGTTGCAGCCTCTGTTGAATGCCGTCGCCCGTGTCTTCGGGCTCGCGTGTCCCGCGCTGATGAATGCCAGCTCTGAGCGCGTGGGAACATAACGGGCCGTCTCGAATTCCCCAAGTGAGCGTTAGGATTTCCATGGGCCGCGCGAGGCCCGCGGGCCGTGCGAACCCAGCCAGCCCCATGAACCCCACAAGTCCCACAAAGGTTTCCTGGGCCGAACGTGCGCCGCAGCGCGCATAGGCCCAATGCGCCGCGCTGGCCCAGCGAGCCGCGCGGGCACCATGGGCTCCCTGACTCGTCAGGGCCACATTTGGTTTCTGGGCCTTGGAAACCCCGCGGGCCATGGAAGCTCCGTGGGCCTCAGGGATGCCATGAGCTGCATGTGACGTTTCTCTATCATGGAAGCCCCATGGCTTGCAACTTCGGTCTGCAATACGAGCCATCTCAAGCTTTCTTGGCTTCGTTGGGTCGCTCAGCCCCCACAGGGAAAGCGCTCCGAAGTTTTCCAGTGGCGTCTTGGTGCTGGTGCCGGCTTTTCGTTCCCGGCAACATCAAAAAGCCGACACCAGCACCAAGACACCCATTGGAACGGCGGCCCCATGTGCGAGCTGAACCCCTCGACGATTTCGGAAGGTTGCCACGGGCTGTGGGCCTGGGTAAAGAGGGGGCCACGGTCTTGTGCCCAGGACGCGAAGGGCGGCCACCGCCCCATTTCTGAGCGGTGGATTCGAAATCGTCGGGCTTTGGTTTCGGGCCAGACGAGGGTCAGGCATGCGGCGCGGGCGGACATAGGGCGGGTGAGGGGATGGGTGGGGGGAATGAGATTGGGACCAGCGGGCGGGGGGAGGCGTGGTGGAGGGCGGCGCTGGGGGGAGTGAAGCTTCAGTCATAGAGGATGCCGCATCCTTCCCGAGAGCGCCCGCTAGTTTCACTTCTCGCTTGTACTTGTTATTTCCTGCTATCCCTCCTGCGTGCTGCGCGACGACTCCCTTCCCCCGCCCTCCTCGCCCATTCTGTTCCTCAGGCCAGGGCGGGCTCGCGCTGGTCCAAAGCGCAATTCAAAATTTCGTGAAACAGATATTTTCTTGGTGCTGGTGTCGGGTTTTTGTTGTCCCATTGGGGGCTCCTTGTAGCCCCTGTGACCGCTTGGGGTCCTCTTGGGGGTCGTTGGGGGGTCTCTTGGGGCCATTTCGGGGCTATCTTGGGGCCATCCTGGGACCTCTTGGGGCCTCCTGGGCGCCTCTTGGGCTCATCTGGGCTCCTTTGGGGGCCTTGTCGGGGCGTTCTCTTGGGCCTCTCTTGGGACCATCTTGGATGATATCGGTCAACGAAGGGGGGGTCCTTAATTGCGCCCCCGCCCCCCCCAGGAGGCCCAAATGGGGCCCAAACCTCGGTAAAACCAATGATTTTTGCTGCCTCGCCGAGGCCGTTTTGGACGCTCTGACACCCCGCGGAACCCCCTTGTCCAGGTCCATGGGGAGGGGGTAGGGGGAGGGGTAAACCTTAGTGAGGGGGCCGTCTACAGGAAGGGGGGGCCACCCAAAAACGCTAACAGCCAGGCCGGGGGGCACGTTTAAAGTGTAATATTCAAAATTACGTTTTTGTCCGAAAGCATGGTTTGGAAAATCCAGAATTATGGTTTGTTGTTGTTTTTGCCCTGAAGGGATGTGTGTGCTTGAATTCAGAAATCGTGATTTTATTGTGGGAAGGCTTCGCCTCTTTCGCCCTTCTGGAAGTGTTGTTGCACGATGAACGCCACGTGCGAAACATGTTTGTGGGGAGTTCCGTGTGTAGTTTCATGTGCGGTTGATCGCGTAGTTGGTTTCGCTACTGTTCGTATCCATCACGGTCCACCCAGCAATAGTACCCAGGCGAAATGTCTTGATCAGGGAAGTGCGGGAACATTCCGTGTAACGAAGAGAAATTGATGGGGAAGCCGTCAAACTGAATTTCGTGGGTCAGCCTGGGCACGCCCGGGTGTGAATGCACATTCGCGGCCCTTGCCGAAACAGGCAGGGCGCAGAAGAATGATGAGGAGGCGGGGGAGGGGGAGGCGGGGGGGGGGAACACGAGGAGGACGAGGACTAAAAGGAAGAAGGGGGGAGCGACGGGAGAAGCAGGAAAGGGGCGAGCAGAAGTATGATGACATTGACTGCGCAAGCTTTGGGGGGGAGGAGGAGGAAGAGGAGGGGGAGGAGAAGGAGGAGGGGGATGAGGAGGAGGAGGAGGAGGAAAGGAGGAGAAAGAGGAGGAGGATTGGGCGAGGAAGAGGAGGAGGAGGAAAGGAGGAGGAGGAGGAGGAGGAGGAGGAGGAGGAGGAGGACGAGCGTACAACGCGCACGCGCGCGTGCGCGCGAGGTGTGATTTCTGCATTGTTCTCAGCGGTCTGGCAACGAAGGGGCCTGGAAACGAAGGGGTTCTTGGGCGGTGACCGAATGGGTGTTCCAGGTAGCGCGGGGCTGCAGCGCGCCAGCCAAGTGGCTCAGCGCGCAACGCGCCCGCGCGCGCGCGCGCGCCGGCGCGAGCTGTGAATTCTGTATCATTTATGATAGAAGTGCCGCAATGTTGGCATGGACGCTCAAGTGGTCCCCTAGCGGAGACCGATTGGATTTCCGATTTACCATGGGTTTGTAGCGCGTCGGTGAAGTGGCTCAGCGCGCAACGCGCCCACGCGCGCGCGCGCGGGCGCGAGCTGTGAATTCTGCGTTATCCACAAAAGAAGGGCAGTCGTGCTGTCCTGGAAACTAAGGTGGCCCCCCAGCGGTGACCGACTGGATTGTCAAATTGACATGGGGATGTAGCATGTCGGCCAAGTGGCTCAGCGCACAAGTCGCCCGCGCGCGCGGGAGCGAGCCGCCGCTCTGCGTTATCCAGAACAGAAGGGCCGCCATGGTGGCTTGGGAGTTCAAGCAGCCCCTTAGTGGTGGCCGATTTCTTTTTCCAATTTAACATGGGCTTCTAGCACGTCGGCCAAGTGTCTCAGCGCACAGCGCGCCCACGCGCGCGCGCGAGCTGTGAGTTCTACCCGCAATAGCAGGGCCGCCATGCTGGCCTTGGAAATCAAGCGGCCCATTAGCGGTGACCGATTGAATATCCGAGATAGCTCGAGTTTGTAGCGTTTTGGTTAAATGATTCAGCGTGCAACGGGCCCGCGCGCGCGCGCGCGCCCGCTTGCGCTCGCGCGCGCGAGCTGTGAATTCTGTATCACCAACAATAGAATGGCCGCCATGTTTGCTTAGAAACTTAAGTGGCCCCTTAGCAGTAACCGACGGACCTCCAAGTTAGCAAAAGGTCGCAGCATGCCGGTTAAGTTGTGCAGCGCACAGAGCGCCCGCGCCTGCGCGCGCAGGCGCGAGCTGTGAACCCTGTATTCTCCGCAATGCAAATGCCGCCACGTTGGCCTGAGAACTCAAGTGGCCCCTTAGCGGTGGCCGATGGTATTTTCCATGTTAAACATGGGTTTGTAGCATGTCGGCCAAGTTGCCCAGCGTGCAAGGCGCCTCGCGCGCGCGCCCGCGCGCGCGCGAGTTGTGAATTTTCGCGCTACCCGCAGTAGAAGGGCCGCCACGTTGGCCTGCGCACTCAAGCAGCCCCTTTGCGGTGGCTTCCAGCATGTCAGCCAAGTGGCTCAGCGCGCAACGCGCCCGCGCGCGCGCGGGCGCGAGCTGCGAACCCTGATCCAAAGTGGAAGGTCCGCCGTGTTGGCTTGGAACCCCGGATTGATGTCCAGGTTAGCACTGGTTCGTGGCACGTTGGCCAAGTGGTCCAGCGCTCAACGCACCCACCCGCGCGCG